CTGGGATGGAAGGATTAATGAAATAACTAAAGATGGTAGAGCCTAAGACTCAACTCCAACAAGCTCCTGATCTCTTGTGCATCCCTAATTTTACTTGCTTACTACTGGTGAACATGTCCATTAGAGACCATGACTTACGATTTCCTGTTAAGTTTTAGGAACAGGGAGTTCTATTAAAGCCTTCACTTGAACTGTTCTTGGCAAGACTTGCCCTTGTCCTACAATATGCCTAAGCATGTTATCTTTCTTTTCTAAATTCATTTTTGCTAAATTTATGATTAAGCCAGCGAATTGCAACTACATAAACAAGACTTGAAATTGTCTTACATGTTCTTCCCATGTGTTACAGCATCATCTAAATAAGCTGGAGAGTTAGGTATTTCAGCTACAACTTGATTTGTAAATTTTTGGAATGTAGCTGGAGTGTTTTAAAACCCAAATACAATGACTCAATATTAATACAACTCATTTGGTGTAACAAAAGCAGATAGCTCTTTAATACTTGATGATAACAGTTCTTCAATAGATCAACGTTAGAAAGAAACGAGGCATTGCCAATCATATTGATAGAATCTTCTAACTGTGGAATTAGGTATGTATTTGCTTTGGTGACTGCATTTATTCTTCTGACGTCTATACAGAATTTAGTTGATCCATCTAGTTTAGGATCTGGCTTTACAAGTGAAATCCCACCACAATAAGTTAAATGAAATGATTTTCCAGCATGCATTTAGTCCGTTTCCAGCTGAACATGTTTTTCTCAGTTCAAATGATAAAGATGCTATTTTATCAGTACTGACTCTCCTAGGTCCACATTATACTAAGCTAACATAATATAGTCAAGGCATATGTACAAATTTTCCTTCTACTTCCTCAGTAGTCTGACTACATCCTCTCATTGTTCTCCCTCTCAAAATGAGAACAGTGTGTTTAACTATCCAAGTATTTCTGTGTTAAACAGTCAAATTGTAGGAGATTTGCTTTGAGAACTATCAATCTCTCATTTTACTTCACTCTTGTAGTCTCTGTCATCTTCCATTATTCCTACAACCTGACACACTTTCTCCTCCATATCCTCTTCCCTTCACCTACTATTTAAACATATTTAGATGAAATAACAGAACACTTCTAATGGATGGTGGAAGGATCAAAAAAGTCATTTTACTAATTCCTCCTAACTACCTTGTATATCTACCGCACTTTCCTTCAAGATTAACCCTACGCAGGCAATAATACCAATACGTTGTCTCTCACTTGAAAACGTTCTAATTGTAGCATGTTTGTCTGTCCATTTTTTCATTTTTCCCTTTGAAACTTTTATACGCTCCTGAGAGTTTTTCTAGAAAAATGTACATATAATCCAACATTGAGAATTTGTCTTGTTATCTCAAGAATATTTTCCTTAAACAGTTTTAATTGAACTTCTCATCATATCATCAACATGACAACAACTTTCTGCCTCCTGGGCAGGTGGACAGCTTGTATAAACAATACAGAGGCAGAAGCCCCAAAGCTAAAAAGGAGACAAAGGAAGAACTGAAAGTATCTGCAAATAAGGAGAAAAAACATTAGAAGGTATGGGAATTGTGAGGGAAGCCCATGAGATTACTGGGGTTTATAAGAATGAGTCCAAAAAGGAAACTCAAAAGGAAATGCCACAAATCAAATTATAGCTTGTAACTATAACAAAGAGACCAGAGGTAAATGTTGACAGTACAGAAGAGGTGAATAGGATGGACGAGAGATATTAGGGGCTTGTGACTATGGAAGATAAAAGACTTTTTAATCAAATGATGCAGCCAAACTGGAACAATATTAGGAGATAGGAATGTTATTAGACACTTCTATAAACATTTCTGCACTGTGATATGAAAGATTGAAATTACACTTTTTTCATTTTTGATCCTTTTTTTTTAAAAATGCCAGAATGTTTAACACCTCATCAAGACCCACATGAAGCCAAGTTTCAATTATTAGTTAGATTTCTCTTAGAGTCATACAGCACGGAAACAGACCCTTCGGTCCAACCAGTCCATGCCGAACACAATCCTCAACTAAACTAGTCCCACTTGCTTGCTCCAGGCATATATCCCTCCAAATCGTTCCTATTCACATACTTATCCAAATGTCTTTTGAACATCGTAATTGTACCCACATCCACCACTTGCTCAGGAAGTTCATTCCACACTCAAATCACCCTCTGTAAAAAAAATTTGCCTCTCATGTCTTTTTTAAATTTCGCTCCTCTCACCTTAAAAATATGTCCCCTGGTCTCGAGATTCCCTCATCCTCGGGAAAAGACAACTACCATTAACTCTGTCTGTACCTCTCATTATTTTATAAACTTCTTTCAGGTCACCTCTCAACCTCCTACGCACCAGCCTATCCAGCCTTTCTGTTTAACTCAAACCTTTAATACCCAGCAACATCCTGGTAAATCTCTTTTGAACCCTCACCAGCTTAACATCCTCCCTATAAGTGGGTGACCAGGACGGGACATGGTATTCCAGAAGAGGTCTCATCAATGTCCCATACAACCTCAACATGACTTCCCAACTCCTACACTCAAAGGACTGAGCAATGAAGACAAGCGTGCCAAGCACTTTTTTAACCAACGTGTTTATATGCGACACAAACTTCAGATGCACCCCCACCAAGTCCCTCTGTTCTACCACACTGCCCAAGGCCCTACCATTAATTGTATAAGCCCTACCCTTATTTGCTGTACCAAAATGCAATGCCTTGCATTTATCCAGATGGCACTCCATCTGCCGTTTTTCAGCCCATTGGCTCATTTGATCAAGATCCCTTTGTAATCGTAGAAAACCTTCTCCACTGTCTATAATGCAACCAATTTTGGTGTGTCATCCACAAACTTACTAACCATGCTTTCTACATTCTCATCCAAACCATTTATACAAAGGACAAACAAGGGGACCAGAACTGATCCCCGTGGAACACCGTTGGTGACAGGCCTCCAGTCTGTAAAGCAACCCTCCACCATCACTCTTTGTCTCCTGCCGTTAAGCCAATTATGTATCCAATTGGTAAGCTCACTCTGAATCCCACGTGACCCAAGTTTACTAATTAATCTACCATGCGGAATCTTCTCAAAGGCTTTACTAAAATCCAAATAAACATTTACTGCTCTACCATCATCAATCTTTTTGGTAACTTCCTTAAAAAACTTAATCAAGTTTGTGAGACATGATTTTCCTTGCACAAAACCATGCTGATTATCCCTAATCAATTTTCTGCCATAAATCCTATCTTTTATAATCACCTCCAACAATTTACCCACAACCGAAGTCAGACTCAGAGATCTATATTTCCCCGGTTTCTCCTTACAACCTTTCTTAAACAAAAGTACAACATGAGCCCCCTCCAGTTATCAGGCACCTCGCCCGTAGTTATTGATGATGCAAATATTTCTGCAAGGGGTCTCACAATTTCCTCCCTTACTTCCCACAATGTTCTGGGATACATTAGATCAGGTCCCTGAGATTTTTCCACCTTTATATTCTCTAAGACCTCCTGAACTTGCTCTTCTGTAATGTGAACTGTTTCTAAAATATCAAAGTTTATTTCTCTGCAGTCTCTAGACTCCATTTCTTTCTCCACAGTAAAAACTGATGCAAAATATTCATTTCGTATCTCTCCCATCTACTGGGGTTCAACACAAAGATGACCTGCTTGATCTTTAAGAGATCCAACCCTCTCTCTAGTCACCCTCTTGCTCTTAATGTAATTGTAGAGTCTCTTTGGATTACCCTTAACCTTATCTGCCAACGCTATGTCATACTCCCTCTCTGCCTTCCTGATTTCTTTCTTAATAATTCCCCTACACTCTTTACGCCAATTAAGAGATTCAATTAAACAAAGCTGTCTCTATATAAAATAAGATTTTATTTTATTCTTGACTAGAATCTCAATATCTTTATCCATTGTTCCTTAACTTTATCAGCCTTACCGTTTGTTCTAACAGGAACATAATGCCTTTGAACTCTCGTCATCATACTCTTGAAAGCCTCCCATTTGTCAGACATCCTTTTGCCTGCAAACAGTCTACTCCAATCAACTTTTAAAAGTTCTTGTCTCATACCATTAAAATTTTCCTTACACCAATTAAAAACTAAGTTTTATGGAAGACTCATCTTTTTCTATAACCATTTTGAAATTAATAGAATTATGACCACTAGATCCAAAGTGCTTCCCCACTTTTACTTCAGTCATGCCTTACTGCCCAAAAGGAGGTTTAGTTTTACTCTTTTTCTATTAGGAGCATCCACAAATTGATAAAGAATTGAACACATTTCACAAATTCTTCACCATGCAAACCTTTAACACTATGGCAGACCCAGTCAATGGCTGGAAAATTAAAATCCCCAATTTTACAACCTTATATGCTTTCGTATATCTGAGATCCCCCTACATATTTGGTTCTCAATTTTTTCTACTGTTGGGAGGCCTATAGTACAATCATCCCTGCCTCCTTGACCTGACATATCCTGTTCATCTTCTCTCCAACCTATCTGCCCCACCAATCCCACTGACCAATCCCCACCACTTCCTATCTGCACTCACCTATCACCATCCCACCTATCTTCCCCAGACCCACCCTCTCCTCTCCATTTATTTCCCAACTCCCTTCCCCCTCCCCATTTCTGAAGAAGGGTCCCGACCCAAAACATCAACTTTCCTGCTCCTCTGATGCTGCCTGGCCTACTATGTTCCTCCAGCTCTGTACTGTGTTGTCTTGGACTCCAGCATCTGCAGTTCTTGCTATCTCTGAATGAACGTGCTAATGTTTTACAAAAAGAAAATCAGTGGAATTTGTCAGAATCAAATAAACTTGGACAAAAGGCTCTCCAGGTTCTCTGCTGTGCACAAATAACCATCTAACCTTGAATCCCAGCATGCAGAGAGGTTGCTATTTTGCCAGAAGCAATACTTCGACACACAACACTTAATGGTTAGAAGCAAAGTCTCTGCAGCCTCACCTTTGAAGCCTGCCGAAGCCAGCGCAAATACTCTGGGAAAGTATCAAAGCTAACATAGTAGGTCTGACTCTGTGGTCCTGACGAGGTGAAGGCCAAACAGTATTGGTGCTTTTTCACTTCTTCCACCTGTGAAGAAAAAGCTTCACATTTACACAAAGCCCATATCACATCATTTTAGAGTACTTTATATATAGTAATTAGTTTCGAACTGCAGTGATTGTTGAATGAGCAAATTCAAACATTCTGTGCTATAACATCTCACAGGGAGCAAGGAGGAAAGAAACTTTATTTCGGTCTTTACAATAAGCCTGTAGCATGAGAAGAGGGAACCTGGATCTTGATTAAACACTTAGCCAAAGAACTCATCTGAAATTTTTGTTTCTTGATCAGACTACACAGTCAGCTCATGTGCTCAAATCCTTAAAAGGGGCTTGAATCAACAAACTCTGATCCAGAGGCACAAGTGTTGCGATTTAAGAGCATAAGAAATAAGAGCAACATAAGATCAAATGGCCTAGTGAACCTGTTCTGCTAGTCAATACGGTCATGGCTGATCATCCTCAACTCCCACTTTTCTCGCCTGCCCTCCGTATACCTTGAATCCAAGTGTCAAAATGTTGTCTTATATCTACCCTAAGCATATCCATAACTCTCTGGTGTGGAGATTTCCAAAAATTCACAACCTCACTTCAGTCCTAAATAACCATCCCATCATCTTGAGACTTGATCCTGTATCCTAGATTACCTGACCAAGGACTACTTTGTCAAGTTTCTTCAAAATGTTGTGCGTCCCAATGAAGTCATCTCTCATTCTTCTAATGTCCAGAGTTTACAGGCCCAACTTACTCTGTGCCTCATACCAGGAACCATTCTAGTGAGAACAAAAAATTCTAGAAATCACAGCTGGTCAGGCAGCATCCGTGGGAGAGAGCAAGCTAATGTTTCAAGTCTAGATGACTCTTCACCAGAGCTAGGCTTCATCAGTCATCTAGACTTGAAACATTAGCTTGCTCTCTCTCCATGGATGCTGCCTGGCCTGCTGTGATTTTCAGCACTTTTTGTTTTCAGTTCAGATTTCAGCATCTGCAGTAATTTACTCCACCATTCTAGTGAACTTTGGCTCCAAGTAAGCTTCCAAAGTAAGCATTTTCTCCCTTAGATTTGAAGACCAATCTTGTGCACAGTATTCTACGTGTGGTCTTAACAGAACCCTGTACGACTGTGGTAAGACTTTATTGCTATACTCCCATCTTCTTGCAAAAGGTCACCAAACCACTTGCTTTCCTAATTGCATACTGTGTCAGCAAGCTAACTGTCTAATTTTGTATATGGATGTCCAATGCACAGTGACATTTACAAGTTTCATATCTTTTAAAAAATATTCTGCTTTTACATTCTTACTATCAAAGTGAATAACCTCACTATCCTTACTTTATACTCCATCTGCCACCTTGTTGTCCACTCTCTAAATTTCTTTACAGCCTTTTATGTCCTCCTTACAGCCTGAATTCCCACCTAGCTTTGTAACACAATCAAACTGAAATACAATATTTTAGGTCTTTTCGTCTAAGTAACGTATATAGATTGTGAATAACTGCAGCCCTAGCACTGCTCCTTGTAGCAATCCACTCATCACTGCCTGCCAACACGAAAACTTCAGGTTTATCCCTACTCTGAGTCCTGCCTCTTATACTCTCTCCATCCTATATGTTCCCAACTCCATGAGCCCATATTGTGTATTAATCTTTTCGGCTATTGTGTCCTTTTTGGAAATTCAAATATATTACAACTATTAGTTTTTCTTTATTTACCCTACTACTTATATTCTCAAAAATCTCCAATAAATTTGCAATTACCATTCCCTTTTTTAAAAGGCCACCGATTTCAAAAGAAAATTTAGCATTTTCAAAATGATTGATGCTCGGCTCGCAGTAAACAACTGCACCTCCCGGTCGCGAACCATTTCAACTCCCCCTCCCATTCCTCAGACGACATGTCCATCCTGGGCCTCCTGCAGTATCACAACGATGCCACCCGAAGGTTGCAGGAACAGCAACTCATATTCCGCTTGGGAACCCTGCAGCCCAATGGTATCAATGTGGATTTCACAAGCTTCAAAATCTCCCCTCTCCCTACCGCATCCCAAAACCAGTCCAGCTCGTCCCCGCCTCCCTAACCTGTTCTTCCTCCCACCTATCCCCTCCTCCCACCTCAAGCCGCACCCCCATCTCCTATCTACTAGCCTCATCCCGCCCCCTTGACCTGTCCGTCCTCCCTAACTCCCCACCTACACTCACCTTTACTGGCTCCATCCCCGCCTGTTCGACCTGTTTGTTTCCTCTCCACCTATCCTCTCCTCTATCCATCTTCTATCCGCCTCCCACTCTCTCCTTATTTATTTCAGAACCCCCTTCCCCTCCCCCATTTCTGAAGAAGGGTCTAGGCCCGAAACGTCAGCCTTTCTGCTGCTATTATGCCTGCTGTGTTCATCCTTGTTGTGTCAGACTAACTGGCCTTCTCTGTCTCTACTTTCTTGAATAGCAAAGTTACGTTTGTTGCCATCCAATCAGTGGGAAATGTTCCAGAATCTTGGCAACTTTGGATCATAATCAACACATCTATTATCTGTGTAGATACCCCTTTTATAGTCCGTGGATGTAGGCCATCAGGTCTGAGGGATTTGTTGGACTTTAGTTCCATATCTTTCTCTAATACTTTATCTCTGATGTTAATTACTTTAAGTTCTCATCTATTTTTAGTCCATTTGTTTCCCCTATTTCTGGTATGTAATTTGTGTCTTCCACTGTGACACAAATGCTCAATTGGCAGAAAAATAATGGATTGTATACTAGAAAAAAAGTAATCTTCAACTTTCATAATGATAGTAAGAATATTTTAAAAATTAATCACTGTCCAAATATATGTGGTAAAATCTAAAATATTTCATGAAAGCATCTTTTAACATCGACTTTGAATAGCAAAATTATATTGATAAATAAACTGCATTTTAAAATCCGTTACAAAATAACATGAATGTGAGTATACACCTCATTCAAGGAGCAAAGCTACAATACCTTTCCGCCAATTAAAGGAAGAACATGCATTTTTCCAGACTGGCTATCTTTCACAGATGAAACAATCAAGCAGGTACCACACAAGATAACTTGACGCTTCGTCCACTTATGAAGCTGCATCTTCCCTTTCCGAACATTGAACAACCCACTCAGCTGGATCCGCTCTAAGTGGTCAATACTATATGGTTTCCCTGGAGATAAAGAAAACAATTAATCACTCGGAATGAGACTGGAGTGGGGCAGGTGGGCAGTGACATTTAACAAGGCAAAAACATACAAATGCAATTCAGCTCTATTTCAACATATATAGGACAAGATTAAATGCAGCTGTTAAAACCTCATGATTAAATAGCTTGCTAATAAAATAAACTCCGATGAGCTCCTGGATGATGCAGGAAATTAATTCTTGAAAACAAAGGTAGAACGGAAGAAGTAATGATATTGGTCACCCCAATTTCTGATTGTTTGATTAGCACCTGGCATCACATTAACTCAAATTCCAAAAGACCAGAGTCTCTTGAGCTGGCTCCTAGTGCTAAATCTGGATATTTTATCCAACTCCATTGGAATATACAGACCTATCAGTTCTAAAGCGTTCAGGCAGGTTTACGTTTCAGGTAGAGAGCCTTTCTGAGAATTGCTGCATGATTACAGATCTACACGATGCTGAAACTAGTTATTTTTATTTTAGATTTCCAATATTGTTCACTCCCTTACTCCAGCAGTGAATGAGTACACCAACAGTTGTTACAGACCAATAACCTTTCTCTGTATTGTAGTTTCCTTAGTTGTGTAAGAGAACCATGTTTAGCAATGCAAAAGTCAGGAGTGTTAGACAGATGCAAATCTTACAGGGCCTGAAGAAAAACAGTAATTAACAGACATGTATCAACCAGTATATCAGCCAATACAATGTCAATTATACTCAGATTATGTGAGGCCTGATACATCACACCTGCAACAATTATAGCTGTCTGTTCCCACATAACGACCTTTCACATTGATAATAGTTACAACTTTTGAGTACACTTATTTCTGTCACAATTTATGAACAGTGATTGCAACTGCTCCCTTGATATTCAACGGCAGCATCATCACTGGACCTCAACATCATTGGTAAGAATCCCATTTGCACCAGCCATATAAAATGTTAAGACCACCAGTGTAGGTCAGAGACTAGGTATTTTATAACAGGTGGCTTAATCCACAAATACTGTAAAGAGTAAGTGATGAGATGGAATTCTCTCTGCTCGGGTAGACAAGTGCAACTGTACTAAAAACTACTAAAATCTGGATGTAGCATGCCACTTGCTTGACACATTATCCACTAGCTTAAAATCCACCCATTTCATCACCAAGCTGCAGTGTGCATTTTCTACAGAAGGCAAGTTGCAGCTAATCAGCAGCACTCCAATCAAGGGATACTAAATATCCCTCTTCCAAACCAAGCCATCAGCTAACTCAATGGAGACAATAAGGACTGCAGATGCTGGAAGACAGAGTCAATAGGTGTGAGGCTGGAAAAGCACAGCAGGTCAGACAGCATCCAAGAAGCAGAAAAGTCAACGTTTCGAGATGAAACATTAACTTTTCTGCTCCTCGGATGCTGTCTGACCTGCTGTACTTTTCCAGCCTCATAGCTAACTCAATGGATTGGAGATTGACCATTTTACTCAAAAGACAAACAATGTAAACTTCTGTAGTTTGCACAAACAAACAATTTCCAGTGATAACACAGTGTGGAGCTGGAGGAACTGAGCAGGCCAGGCAGCATCAGAGGAACAGGAAAGCTGACATTTCGGGTCAGGACTCTTCTTCAGAAGATTTTCTGAAGAAG